TCAATTGAGTTATTGAAATTTTAGTACTTTCTTGAAGCACCGTGTTCGTTGATTTTGCAAGACACAATTAGATGTCGAAACGATTTCCGATTTGTCTAATTTTTTGTAAGGATGATCTATGAATGAAAACCTAAAAAATATAGTTTTGATCATTAGGAAAAAAATTGTAAGGTACCCTAAAGGGCGTCCCTCAAATAAAATTATTTGAGGGATCCCTCAATAGAAGGGGACTGTATATATATATATATATAAAATAAATTTAAGTTTTAGCCATAAAAAAACTTTCACTTTTGGAAAAAGTCAAAGTTTTTTTAAAAAATACAGAAAAACCTCTCAACGTTCAAATCAAATACATGCAAATATAAAGGATTCCTTAAGAAATCCAAAAATAAATAAGGGTAATTTTATCTATTTTGACTTCTTTTAAAAAATTTCTCTATACTTTTGCTTTTTTCAAAGTCTCCCAGAAAAAAAATCCCCTCCTTTGAGATTGGGTTTAATAGAAGGATTAAATAAAACAAAAGAAAAAGAGAACTGAATGATTTAAAAGAATGAAAAAGGCAGACAAAGTGGACGGTGGTTCCAAGGGTTTCGTTGATTTTTGCAGTGGCATGGCAACTTTACTTATTGAGTGGGAGGGATCCTGTAGTGGCGTGCTCGTCAGAACTATTTGAGTTGGTGGGTCCTACTCATATGTATACATAAATTACCATCAAATCAAAACAAAAGCTTCAATCACAAAATCCCTTGGAGAGTGTGTTATTGGGCTATGTTTGGTTACATGTAATTTCATCCCCAGAACCAAGGACAAGGACTTGAACCAATTCCAAATATCTTATGGAGTAGAAGTTGTTCAAGAGTGCCATGATATTAGTACATACCTACCTTTCCATCAGTTGTCTAAAGATTTATAGGTTTCATAGTTTATACCTATTTGAAAGAACTTATAATTTTAGAGGGCAATGTTTGCTCGTCAGACTTACGTTATTAATTTGTCAGACTGAAATTTGAACCATATATCATAATAAAAGTCAATCGGATAAATCTTTATTTATCTCCCGACAAGAAAATATTTATTATACTTCAAAATGTGTATAGCCATGCAATGCAAACTTAAATAGATTGTGAGACATTGACTTGGCAATGAAGGGACAGACGAACGTTTTGAAGGGACCCAAGTATTGTTTTTTCAATGGACAAAACATTGTCGCCATCGTGCTAATTTGATTGACAATTATATGCCAATATTTGGCACTATTTCCTTCCCTCCTTTGTGCCATCTATTCGTTGGGTGTTACGTTGTTGTTTGCTATGAGGAGGACCATAGAATATTTATATATTTTGGATTGAAAATGTGGTGGTTGCACAAAAATGATGTGGACAAGTTGGGCTCTTATCCAAATCTTGTTTTTATCTCATAGAAAGAGTTAGGTAGTGCAAAATAAATATGTCATGATTAGCTATTTTGTTTATTTTCTAAGTTATTAGAAAAATAATTCATCATATTGGATTTTGTATGTTGCATCCAGCAAAATAATAAGGGTAAATTAATGGAAGTTGGGCATATAAAATATTTTATTTAGTCGAAAGGATTTATCACTAGTATAGGATAGGAGTAGGCGTAACGTAGGCTCAAATTCTCAATCATATTGTTCCAATCATTTAATGTCCTCAAATGATTATGCAAAGGCCCTTCATTGCAAATTTTCAATATATATGCATCCAACTAGTTTATCCAGATATTAAGACGGACAGTTTTTTTATTTATTTATACATGCGATACTGAGGAAGGAAAAATCAAATCTAAGACCTCAGTTAAGAAAGATCATTTTTTGGCTAAATACTCGTGATATGTCAAGCCGCAGGAAAAATCAAAGATATGTATAGCTGTCTTCTCCTCAAATTCTGTAGGTTTTTCCTTTGTGGTACCCGCACACATCAGCCCAGCCCAAGTGAACCCAATGAATGAAAGAAATTGGTCAGTTCAGCTTGTTCTGTCGATTGATAAGGCCCTAAGGAGACTTGGGCTGTGAATGTATGAATATTGCTTCGAGTAAACCAATTCAATTAACCCATGTGCACCAAAATGATGTCGTGGTGGGGTTAAAAGGAAAAAATACATGGTGATGTCGAGTTACTGGTTTAGCATGCGGCCCAGTGGTTTGTGGTATGGCTCTGGGGTTCGGTTGGGTTTGCTCCCCAGTTCGAGTCCCGATGATTGCAATACTTGGTGGCCAGCGGCATGCTCAGTTCCGTGAGTAGGGATTAATCGAGGTACGCCCAAGCTGACTCAGATACCTCATGATATTTACCAAAAAATATATATATAAATAAATAAACATTAAAAACGACTTGAGCCCGTGACATGGAATCTTTAGACTAGAAGCAGAGAAAACAACAAAATACCAAGAAGTCAAGAGGAAAGCAATGGAGAAGCAGCCACACCAACTTGAACTTAAATAATTAATTTTTTATGATCTTTAAAAACCCTTTTGGCTGTGACCAAGACATCAATGCTCATCACCTTGATGGGTTACTTTGAATAGTAAAATGCCAAAAATAGTACAAGCTCACATTGAAAAAGTTCATTTGAAGCATTCACCATTAGAACTGTCTCTGTCTGAGTTCCAATTTTCCATTTACTATTGCTAATTGGACACAATTTTCTCATATGATACTATTTAATCAAATATATATTACCGCTAATCACTTGTCAGTGGATGTGGATCAAGGCGAGAGTAGGGTTTTGTTCCCCTGTGCCTATGTGGTGGATAAGTCCATAACTTCTGACCAGAGCTAGAAGAACACAACTAATTAAAGCAGTAAAATTCGACTAAAGGACATTTTGGGCCGTCAGTTTTGAACGGTTCATTCATCTTCATGAATCATGATATTACCCTACCCGATATTAAAAGTTAAAAAAAATAAAAAAATAAAGTCAATCCAGTTTTTGTGTGAATGTTGACTGGGTCTTTGTCTTGGAATGCAAGGAACAAGTACCAGATAAAAAGAAATTATAATTAAAGTTGAGAAATGGAGAGGTCGTACAAGTACAAGGTCAAGCCTTTTTTCATTTACTCTATTTGTTTTTTATTTTAAGGTGCCACCATCTTTATAAGCTCTCCACCAAAAGCTCCTGCATTTGCTTATTTTGGAGCATCTGCGTGTCTGAACTTTCTTTCTGTCTCTGTCTCTGTCTCTGGTTCTAAGTCTTTCTCTCTCCCTCTCTGAAATTAGTTTTTTGGTGGTGTGCGTCTGTGTGGAGGTGAGTAATTAGCCATGGGACGCACTCCATGTTGTGACAAAGATAATGTGAAGAGAGGTCCATGGTCACCTGATGAAGACGCAACTCTCAAGAGCTACCTTGAGACTCATGGAACTGGTGGAAATTGGATCCTTTTGCCCAAAAAAGCTGGTATCTCTCTCTCTCTCTCTCTCTCTCTCTCTCTCTCACACACACACACACACACACACACTGTGTGATATGCTTAGTCTATCTTCTGACCTCACAGAATGAAAATTATGAAAAAAAGAACAAAAGGGTTTTTCTTTTTTTCTTTTGCCAATTTGTTCAGTGAATCGTCCATACTAAACCCATTCATCAGTTTGACACTGAGAATTTTTCTGGATGAGAAAAGGTTGAACTTTTTTTCTTCTTCTTACAATTGTATTTTTCCTTCTTTTTTTCTGCAGGTCTTAGGAGATGTGGGAAGAGTTGCCGTTTACGTTGGCTCAATTATCTGAGGCCAGACATCAAACATGGATGCTTCACTGAAGAGGAAGACAACATTATATGTAGCCTCTACAGCCAAATGGGAAGCCGGCAAGTCCATTTATCATTCTTTATACTAACTTTTTTCATGGTTTTTATATCTGCAACACTACTGGTAATTTCTAACATTTTTCCCCACTTTTTTTTAGATGGTCAGTGATAGCTTCTCGGATGTCTGGAAGAACAGATAATGATGTGAAGAACTATTGGAACACCAAATTAAAGAAGAAGCTATTTGGAGGAAAACAAAACCTCACAACAAAGAACAGCAAAGAGCCCACTAACAATGCCACTCTTCCTGGTTCTGCAGCCTCACTGGCCCTGCCTTGTGTCCCAAAAGCTGAACCCCAAGACTCTGCCTTTTCAACATTCCAAACCCAAATTCCAGCCACATTGCACATGTTAACTGATGTTAATTCTGGACTGAATGCCTGTAACCAAACCTGGACCTTAAACTCACCAGATCAATTATACAGCTCCAAGGTCATGGCTTTTTCAGATTTTGGTGCGAGTTCAAAGAAAAGTTACACTACTGTTTCATTATCTCAGGATGGCTCAAACAATTCAGACTCTTCTTCAATAGCTGCTGTTGACAAGTGTGCCTCACTACCTGGAAATGGTTCCCTTGATGATTCTGGGATGTTTACAGATTTCGGTCTGCCTTATGATGTGAATTATGGCATGTGCTTTGGAGAAAAAACCAGTGAATTTGGCCCAGCTAGCTGTACAAATTTTGGTGATTTATTTTCAAGCTCATATTGAGGCACAAAACAAGGACTGAATCAAAGGGTTCTCAACCATCTGTGAAAAACAAAAAGCATGGGGAAAAGAAACAAAAGCAAATGCTTAGAATTGGCTAAGGAGATGGGGGAAGTAAATATTAGCTGGAGAAAAGGATGTTCTTTTTTTGTTCCCCCTCTGTTTTAATTTCTTTTTCACTTATTCTAGTTATATTCAGTCTCAGTTGGACCTCTGCTTCTGTTCATAGAGGAGGAGAAAATGTGATGTAAATCAAATTTTTAAGTAATGACTAGTAGATGAACATGCATGGAACCCTTCCTCTTTCTCTCTGTTTGTTCTGTTTGTCTGTGTATAAAGCTTTCAACTTTCACAGGCATTCCCATTTTGGGTTCTCAGAAATTTGGTTAATTAATTTACTCTGTCTTTAAGGTACAATGGCACAAAGAATCAGTGTTGGGGGGGTTGGATGGCCTCAGCATGTTTGCCTGTTTCTTTATATGCCAGCGGTCATGAAAGTTGTGTGGGGTGTGGCCAATTCAAAGTTGATCATGATCCGAAATGTCCCTCTCAAAAAATAACCATAAAAGATACTCTGCCCTGCTTTTGATATTTTACTGAGTCATAACCTACATCATCTCTGCAACTTCAAGACTTGAAGTGGTAAAATCAAAGGTTATGTTTGAAGAAGCAATTGAGGTCCTGCGTTCCAATCCCCCTCTCCGTTATCGCTTGGATATTTTCATCTCATGCAGCAATGTGAATACACAGGTCACAGGTGCATACATTACCCTAAAGAAACTTATAAATTTTTGTTTTTCTCTCTTTTTATGTGTATTGAGAAGCCATTCTTTTTTGGAAAAACGCGTTCTGAATGTTTCGACTCCATATGGTTTAAATTATTCATGCAGTGTGTGCCTAAGGTCAAGCGTCACTGTTTGAGAGCTGTGATTCATAACTAAAACATTAAACTTATCCATGGATCGTTTTCATTGTTCATTGTACGGTCAAGTACCCTGTCCATTCACGAATCTGAGAGGACATAATTATTTTTTAATTTCCCGTACAATTTATTGGTGAAGGGAAGACTTTAAGCTCATAATAAAGAGAAACTTATAATTAAGCCTCACTAATCACTGCCATTATTAAGTTCTTAAGCATTACTTAATCATTATTGTTTATTTTGGAAACCCATTTTAAATAAAACATTGTTTAGTCTTAGTCATCTTCTTAAAATATGAGATTAGTTCACTTGCTATAAGCTACCAAACATTGCATATGCTCCATCTATGCGAATTGCCCCAATTAGGGATTGTTTGAAAATCATCGAAGCTATCCAGGGCTGGGAATCTGGTTTTGAAGTTTTCTTAATTATGGGATATATTACATTTACAGAAAGGTTTAAAACAGATGGGGTTCACGTTTTGATCTCTCTCTGTCTCTTATCTTATGCTTTCATATTGAACTTCAGAGGTTGCATCATAATGAATGTTCTTTATCTGCTTCTTGGTGGCATTTTATGTGTGGTTGAATATTCCTTCTCCAAATGAACTTTTTTGAGGACATTTTTTATTAAAGGGACGATAACATACTAAACTCACACACACTATACGGATGCTAAGACTCGAACCCAAAATCTTTCTTGGGAAACAATTGCTCCAAACCACTACACTAGTGGGTCATTTGCTTATTCAAATGAACTTAAGAAGAAAGCATAAATCCCATATCAGAAATCAGAAAAGACAATGTGTAAGAGCCCCTTGTTTTCACAATAGAGGTTCCTCTTCTCCATTGGCTATTTCAGAAAGTCCAAATTCATGGAATTTAGCCGTTAAGAGAAATCAATAAGGAAAAAGAAAGGAAAAAAAACAAACCAAGTGAAGAATCTTGCAATTAGTCCGATGTGATTAAGAAATCACACCCCACAATCCTATTTTATGCCTTACAATCATCAGCAAGTGAAGAACTTAAGATGGGACATCCCTTTCAGACTTTTCTTTATGGAAGACAGAGTTATTCCAAGTCAGAGAAAAAGATAACCTCAACTTTGTTGCCTGTCTAAAAGTTAAAATTAAAATTATGAAACTCTTTGAAACACCAGAGCAAAAACATACAGGTTCTTGTTTTTCTTGTGTTCATATGATGATGCACTTACGGTCCCCCCAACTTTCATGTTTTGTTCTGTTTATATTTAAGTAGAGAATCTTTGTCAAATTGCAAGCATGGTTCACACTCATCTTTTTATGTTTTGTTCATTCTTCTCTTTGACATTGAATCCTTCAAATTATGGTTGCGTCATTTTGATTATTTTTCATGCACGTTGCTCAGTCAATGGATCGATATTATGTATGGCGAGTAATAATATATTTCCATTGCCCTCATGTATTTGATTATGTATGGCGAGTAATAATATATTTCCATTGCCCTAATGTAATTGATGCAACGCGTGTGTTAAGATTTTCTTAGAATCATTCTGTGAGCTATAGCCGATTTTGCAAGTCATCGATTAGCTCGAAATCATAGCTTAATGATTCTAAAATTGTGATCAAGCATAGAGTTCACGTTTAACTTTGTAAAATCATAATAAGATTTCGATAATGATGGAAGAAGAAAAAAAACGACTATAAGTTCCCAGTATTAGTTGTACAAAGAAGCCTAATATTTGACCCATTATATTACAAAGTACTAAAAACAGTTTTACCAACTTATTATTTTGTATACATACAGACCATCAAATGCAGTATTAAAAGTCACAAGTCAGTCTGGAGAGTCCGAGAGATTCGCATCATCCTCCATAATTCAAGTTTTATTAATTTTCTTCTTCTATATGTTAACAACTGCAAACACAGCAACAAAACCCATCAGATCATATGAAGTTACATAAATGCTTTGAGAAACATAAACTTTGATTCAAACGACAATTTGAATCTTAATCCAACAGAAGCTGAATTCTTATTTAAGTTCTACGACAATTTAAATCTTATTATGTGCATCACCCCGCTTGAGTGAAGGATTCCATTGTCAAGATAAATTACCAACCTGATACATGTAAGTAACCTCTTAAAGTGCCATCTCTGCCTGTAATGCAGCAAGCTCATCCTCCTCACGGTTGTTCCTCTGCGGAGCTGGTTGGGCTGGTTGCCTGCCTACCGGGGCATTTACGGGTACTGCAGCTGCGGGGGCAGTTGTGGCTGGCTGGAAAAGCTCCTCCTCCAATTCAGCTCCTTCCAGTTCTTCAAGCTCTGCTTCCAATTCATCCTGCAGAAACAAAGTTGCAAAATTTGAACCTAATGAATTGAAAAAAAAGCATTGAACGCATGAACTAAGAACTAGCAAAGATCATACTTCATCAAAATCAGCTGCTGCACCAATAGGCGCTGACAAAGCCTCCTGAATCTGCTTCATGCTTTCAGTTTGGTCATTGATCTCATCCATTGTTTTCTCCAAATCATCAATTTTCCTGTTAAAAAAAGGTCAAAGTTGAGATGTACTATTCAGAACAGAAGGATATGGAATGCTTCCTTTGAAAGATCATCCAAAGTGCTTTGAGAGTAACTCAAGACTGACTTTGCAAAGGATGCAATAGTTCATTTGAATTTAAATTTCTTTCATTGCTATGGCAATTATGGCCATGGAATCTATAAATTCTACGGAATGCAGTTTAAATGCAACTTACGTGGCTTTGTTCATGGCCTTCATCACAGATGTTCCACTTCTCAATGCATCAACAGTTTCCGTTGTAGCGTTTGCACCTTCCAGCATTATCATCTAAAACCCCAATTCAAAATATGTCTTCATGATAAACTCTCAACAAATGAAACTTCACTAAAATTTACAACAGTACCTACCTGATCATGAATGCGCAATTGGAAATTTCCGAGCTGCTCAATTTGTTGTTCGTAAAGCCTTTTCCTCTTTAAACATTTTATTGCCGCTGGATAAAAAACAACAATAAGGTATACAATTTGATACTCATTGATAAAAAAAAAAAAAAAAAGAGTTTGCTTTCAAAACCTACATAATTTACTTGCTTAGGGGTTCAGATTTAAACAGGTAATTAATAACTCCATTGTTTTCTCTAGTGTTTTACATGTCCTTCCACCACAAATGGCAAACCATGCAACAGAATTGAACACAGAACAGCCTAGAAAAGAAAAAAAAACTAAATAAACGACATGTAGCCTGTAGGGGGTCTTACCAGTTCGGTTTCGTGCTTGAGTAAATTGTTTAGCCTTCTCAACCTCCGCAGCGGCCTTCTTTACAAGAAGTTTCTCCTTTTTCTCGAGCATCTCAAGTGTCTGCACAGTCCCAAAAAACAAAACTTTTAACAGAAAAACAAAAACCCGTATAACTATAATCACAACACAAAATTCAGACCCGTAAAATTTGCAAAAAATTCCAGCACAACCCTGACAACACCTACAACAAAAAAATTGAAATAAAAGAAACCCAAAATCATACATCGTTTAATTTGTGTATAGTTGGCAGGGCATTGGGTTCCTGCTTTGCCTTCCCAAACACTCGCTTAAACATTTTTGCTCTGATTTGTTTTCCAGACAACCAAAACAATATCTTTTAAGATCCTGCAACCAAATCAAACAAGTTGATCAGAGACTTTGACCCATCTGATTGAACAAAGCAACGGTAAACATAAATGAAGCTAAATAATTTTAAAATAAAAAGAAAAGAAATAAACGGACTGACAATATTGAAAACAGCGTTCAGAGTTTTGCAGGGTGATCGGTCACGAAGGTTGGACTGGTTAAAGAGTAAAAGCAGACAAGGAATGGTAGTTTTTTTTAGGTACCAGAAATAACTTAACCAGACTAAAGAGGGAGACTTATATCGCAGGCTGTGAGGTAATTTGCTATGACAGACGAATAATCAGCGGGATTACGATGATAGGATTTGTTCGTTGTATGAAGAAATGGGCCAGACGGTTAATTAGGAAATGGAGTTGATGAACCAGCACGCGAAGGCCGAGCGGCCTTAATAAAACCCAGGCCCTTATTGGGCCCACTAGCAGATCCAATTAATAAATTTCATGAGTTCTTCTTTGGAAATGTAAAAAAAAATGGTGATTTATGGATACCACAACCTCGCACCGCAAGCCACCCTTAAAGCCCAATACAAAAAAAAATATATATATATAAAAAAAAAACCACAACAAAAATTAATGTGTTCGACAAAATTTTATTTACATTCTTACAGAGTTTTTGAACTAAAAATTTACATAATTTAGCAAAATTTTGTTTATATCGTCAAAAAATCTTCGCTTTTAACCTCAAAGCCGAGCATGTATACAATTGAATAAAACATTTATACACCCTTTCTCAAACTTATTATACCTCAGTTTGGTTCTCACTATCAACTTCCTTGTGTGATTTTAAATGCCCACAATTGAGCTGGATTTTATAACCTCACCTAAGGTGGCGTTTGGCAGTGCTTAATTTTTTTAAAAAGCAGCTTTAATAAAAATTTGGCAAGAGTTGGGTGTTTGGTAAACCCAAAAAAACACGCTTATTTTAAAAACCCCCATCATAAAAAGCAAAAACTCAAAGTCAGGTATGTGGTGCTTTGAAAAGCTGCTTAAAAAAAGAGCCGGTTTTCTCATTAATGAAAGTTTCATTATCCCTATAATACCCCTAAGTATTTCACAAAATGACAACATTTGACCCACTAAAAAAATAGATCTCGCGACTTCACACTCTCTGACCTTCACTTCTCACAGACTGTTCTTCTCACTGTTCTTCTTCTTCCTCCCCCTGCATCTCAAAACTCCATCTCAATCAAGGACCGTAATTGCCGACAACAATCAGCTACTTATCAGTGAGTTCATCTCCCATTACATTTATGATTTTTAGGTTTATATATGTTATGAAATTAGGTTTTTTGTTTGGTTTCTATGAAATTGGGAGATTTGTGTTCTTGGGGCTTTGGGGGAAGACACAGGAGAGACAGAGTAGGCTTGCTAGTTCTATGAAAATCTATATTATATATATATATCATATATATGTATATATATGATTGCAACCAAAGTCCCCAAGTCAGGTCCGTGTTGATTTTTCCAATGTCCTCACCTTGTTGTCTTCAAGCTCAAATTTAGTTTTAGTTCTCTTTTAGTTAGAAGACAAGAAAAGAGTGAAGAAGCCATTAGCTCCAGATTTGGGGGCTTCTCTTTTCTCAAGAATGAAAAAAAAATATAAAAAAATCCTATTCTCTGCTGTTCCATCTAAGTTGTTGTCCATTATTGTGTTAGAAGATTTTTTTATAAACAAAGCTTTTATTTTTTAGTGGTCATAGTTTCAAGTTCTTCATTATTATTATTTTTTAGTGTCGGTGGACTTTATTATTGTGTTAGAAGATTTTGGATTGGGTAATGGTTTGAAGTTCTTCCTTTTATTTATATTTTTTGTGTTGGTGGGCTTTATCAAAAGTGATTGTAGCATGCTGGTCATTGTGGTGGGGAACTCATAAACTGACCTATGGTTGAAATATAAATTTGTAAATTGGTATGAAATTGCATTCTCAGTAAATTATGAGAATGCAATATCATCTTGCCTTAGAAGCTGGAAATATTGGCTAAGACTTTATGTTATCTTTGTCTCCTCTTGGCAAAATAGGCTTGCTAGTTCCTCAAGTAATATATGTTAAAGATTAGGAAAATTATATAGTTCTTGTTCTTATGTCAATTGTGAAGGTGATCAGTTTATTTTCATGTGTGGATTCTTCTTGTTCTTGGTTTTCTTTCATGAATCATTAGGAATACTCTATGCTTGGACTCTTTGTCCCTTGTTGAGATTGAGAAGTGGGTTTAAGGAAGTTTTGTTGGGAGCCGTCATCATTTTGAAACATATAGCATATAGTGGATAATATATATGAATATTCATACCTGTGGGAAAAAGAAAGTTTGCTATTTTTATGCTTTTAGTATAATGTATATTAGGACAATTATTTGCTATTTTCTTTTTCTCATACTCAACACATATTGCTTTAGTAAGGATGGGAAAGAATGTGGGAAGTTCATCAACAGCTCCAGCGACATGGAATAACCATAATATATCCATATTCTGTGATTTGTGCATCAAGGAGGTGGATGCCGGACGTCGTCCTGGCACTCATTTTAAAAAAGAAGGATGGGAAAATTTGAGAGTTAACTTTAGTAAAGAGACAGGAAATAATTATGATAAGGGGCAACTGAAAAATAAGTGGGATGCACTCAAAATTGAGTGGAAATTGTGGAAAGAATTCGTAGGCAAAGAAACTGGTCTAGGATGGAATTCGAGCAAGGGTACTGTTGATGCATCTGATGAGTGGTGGAATAATAAAATTCAGGTGTGTGCAATATTTCTTTTCAGATTAATCTTTTGTCTTCCCCTTTTTATTTTATTAACATGCATTTATATTAACAATCCATATGTCTTTATAATGTAGATAAATGCTGAATATGCAAAGTTGCGTAAAAAAGGCATTATTCCTGAGATGGAGGAGAAGCTAGATAGGATGTTCATGAATACCACGGCCACTGGTGAATATGCTTGGGCACCTTCATGTGGTATACTCCCACCAGAAACTGAAGAGGCATCCATGGGTGATGTTATTCCACTCGAAGGAAGTGATGACTCAGATGAAACAATTCAAG